AAAATGCAAAGATGAATTGCTACGCCAGGTATATGAGGACGGTCACATAGCGAACAAGGGAACCACGTGATCACTAAGGCTAAAATATTTGCCTGTGTACTCTGACCAGTCATTCTGACCATTCGCAGGAACGACGAAAAGGCTGCAAAATGATTCCTTTCATGTTCAGTACAAATGAGTATCCTAATTTCCGTTTGGATTTGTAACGCGAGTTTCGTTCTAGACATCTACCTGAGAGGCATAAAAGGGTTGCCTCGTCTTTTACTACCAAAGCCTCATTTGTCAACCGCTACATTGTTTATATCAGGCTTTTAACGTTATCGTAGCGGCTCAGGAATAGCCATCCATCGAACTTCGCTCCGCTAGGTCGTGCAGTTACCTTGTTTGTTTTTCGGTTTTAGTTTTAACGAGAGCGACTAATATAACTTTTAAAATATGCGACGCCAAATGCTATGACTAACTTGATATTTCATTGTATCGTTAAACTCATGATGCAAGCCTTATGAGTGGCAACGCAACATTGCACTAAATAAAATTACAATTTGCTGTTCTAACCACTTTTGGTAACTGTATCTGTATAGTTTCTTTTAATGTCATATACGACAGTTTGTCTAAGCAAGTAGTATTCTGACCGCAAACAACTAAATACTATAACTAAATGTGAAGATTCCTAAAGAGGCTTCAACATTACAGTTTCAGTAGTCTCATAGATAACATAAGAACAGAGGTGTAACAAAACAAGTAAACGAGAAGTTGCGCTCATGATTTACCTGACTCACATTTACAAAGTTTGAAAAAACAAGACCCTGAACACTATCAATGTAGTGGAATAAAATTGTGGCGCTGATCAAGGCTCATCCAGAGAGTGACAACCATAAGTTTAACCTCTTCCAATGGTGTTGCGTATTTCAGGATTCCGTTTTGAATAGTTAAAACAATGTACAAAACTACCCGAGTGCAATAAAGATGTATATAAACTATCACTTAAACATGTTCAAATTTCTGAAAAACGTTCTCTACAAGAAAACCTGCGAGTCGAAAAAGTAGATGCACCTAAAAAATGCAGTGTATAAATTCTGCACTGCTTGAATCACAGTTCTACTTGCTAGGAAGAAACGGTGTGGCATTTAATCATTCTTCCTTAACAAAAAAATTAGCAAGACCATATGTTCCTGATTCATGGATGCTAAATGAAAAAGAACTGAATATGTGTTGTTTAAAAAAGAACGAAACCACGGACTATTCCGTGATAAACTGCAAACGGCGTTTCGATCCACGATTCTTCTAGTAACTGAAAAAAAGTACCATGAAATTTGCCCTGACTAAAATCCTGAAGTATCGACTGTCACTTCAGCATCAGATCAAAAAATTTGAATTGTTGAGCAGCTGCAATGCCATGCGCTCCGATGATCCGTCGCACAGATACGATGACGGTATGATCCAACCCGGCCAGCCGCCAATTTTGGACTTCGGTGTGCAAGTACGTCATGCACTCACTAACTTTCTTAGCCACATATAACAACATATCGTCCTTTAGCAGTTCAAAAATTCAGGAGTTGTTGACGAGTGAGGCAAACCGTGGTGAAACAAGACTTCTAACATTAAAGCAAACATTTTAAAGTATGTTATTTACGTGAAATAGCAAATGCCGTTTTGCCTAGACTATTTATTATTGCTTTCGATCACTGGAAAAGCTGAAACCTTGTTACTTTCGAGAAATTTGAATTAAATACTCCTGTCCTCCACGTAACACGAAACAGTTCCAGAAATTCTTATCGGTGTTGAACATGGCACTTTGCAGAACAAGGAAAGAAGACTCAAAAGCAAAACAATCTGTTTGTACTCAGATCTACTACGAGCACAGAAATAAAGTGTACTTTTCAAATTCGCTTGCACACTTCCCACGCTTATATCCGTGGACTGGGGTGAATTCTTCACAAGTTTCTTTTTCGTCACAACAAAACGTACCTTCGTAAAGCTAAGGTGTTAAGAGTAACACGTGGCAAAACTATAAAAGCTGGCAACACAACTCTTCAACCACAGCAGCTTCTTCATGAAGAATAACGGCGTTACACAAACAAGCAGTCCAGAACTGCAAAAGCAAACCTTCCTTTAGCTGCATCACAGAACATGAGACCTCATCAACCAAAAGAATATATAACCATAGACAGTCAGCTCCACCTAGCGTTAACGTTTAACCTCATTTTAAAAGAAAACAACATAGCCAGAGGAAACGAAATGACACAACATACATCCGTGTGTGCCCATAAATTCAATAAACATACGCTGCGATACGTATATATATATATATGTTGTTGACCTAGAGAAAGCCTACCTCCAGATCCCGCGTTACAATCTATGGGCATGCGTGCGAACATACTGAGTCGATGGTCAGTTGCTACAGGCCATCCAATCACTATGTGTTGAGAGCAGATGCTGTGTCAGAGTAAATGGCATTAAATTGAGACCTTTCAGTGCCATCACACGCGTTAAATTATTTTGATTGTGATGATTATGATTATGAGGATGATGACGTTCACTGATTTTCATGCTGGGAGTATGAGAAGGAAGATTATGACGATAATGCAGGCAATTAAGCTCATGATTATAATGTTTATTGATAATAACGATTATGAGAGGACTACTATATAATTTATTTATTGCAAATTTGTTCCTACTTTAACTTTGCAGAGTCAATTTTTCGCTGTAGAGATTACCTGTCGTAGATACACTGGTATGTTCCTCTGCCAGCTAAAGTCCACTGACCTCAACAGGTGGCTGGGTCAAGAATTTCCTAAACATAACCTGGTCTCTGGTATTTTAGCACCAGTATGGACATGGTTGCACAAAAGCAAGAACATAAAAATAATCAGATTTATGCTCAGCAAAGGTTAGTCTCCAAAAATATACTGCAAAGGTTAGTCTCCAAAAATCGTCTTCTGCCAAGTTA